GGGGGGGGGAGGCGCTAGAGCACATGACCGTTTAGGTGGGGAAAGGTTCGGTGGGCTCTACTTGGGAGGGGCTCCTCCCACTCTGCTGCTATGCTAGTTACAAAAATCTTCTGGTGGCTGGCCTATGCAATACCCATGTGTGCCTGCACAGTAACAACTTGATGAATAACAGTTACAGGTAAGTGAAACCCTGTTTTCTTAGGCAGAAGGTTAAAGGCAGGGCCTCAAAGATAGCATCTTCAGAATTGCTACCAGTTCCACATGCAGGGCCTGTTAGCCAGGAGGAGATGATAGTTCTCAATGTATTGCTGAGAAGGTGTGCTGGGCAGAAGAGTTTATGTTTATTTGGCAATGGGGAATTTCCTGGTATGAGCCTGACTAGTGCAAGAGTGACAGGCTTTACCTGAACTGAAAAGGAACAAGGCTGCTGGTGCTTAATGTCAAAAAGTGGCAGAGCACTTCCTAAAGTCCTAGGGGAAAGCCAACGGGAGCTTCTGGTTTGAGATTACTCAATGGGAGTAGTAGTAAACACTGGATAATATGGGAGGGAGCGGGCTAGAACTCGATAGTGTGAGGAAGGTTGTGTGAGAAAAGGTAAAAGCCAAAAATACGGGTGGCTTTAAAGAGGGGTTACATTCATGGAGGCTACTAGCCACAGTGAATAAAGGCAACTTCTATATCCAGACGCAATAAACTTATGAAAACCAGTGCTAAGTAGCATCAGGCACCTTGGCAGCCTTGGCCTCTACGACGTTTGTTGGTCCTGCAAGGCAACTGTTTGGAACAGGCTGCTGGAATAGATGGCCCATGGATCTGATTCACTGGGACTATTCCTATGTTCTTATTGTGGGTAGATCCTTAAGACCATGGTTCTTTATACAGAAGAACAAACTGTATGTGCTTCCTGTAGCCATGCCTCACATTTTAAACACCCAAATCCATGTATCTACTATTTTTTCAAGGAAGAGCAAAGCGTTTGAAAGCAGCAGTGAGTGCTGCCTGTGGGATGCTGTTGTGGGTCTTGATCCAGCACATAAATGAACTTTCATAAGCAGTTCTCCTTACCTGGAGCAGGAGGCAGTAAGAGGCTGTTGGGGGATCCCAGCCAAAAGCATGTCTTTCATGCCATTTTGGAGGGAGCTGGTTGAGAAAGGAGGACAAACCGGCAAACACGGCCTGTGGCTGTGTTGGTCCACAGAAGAATCCAAAAACTAATGTCCTGAGTAACTCAATTTTCCTCAGAACCAACCAAAGTTATCAACACACAAACTTTTGATTCTTCATGATCAGGCTCATTACAAAAAATAGGGGGGGGGGGGGGGGGGGAAGAAAAAGCAACAACAGAAGGCAGGAGTGTGCAGACCATGTCCTGCAGCATTGTGGAGCCCGGGGAGGACCTTCCTTGGAGCTAGGGTTGCCAATTGGCTTGGAAAATTTGTGGAGACTTGGGGTGTTGCCAGGGGAGGGCAGAGTTTGGGAGAGGAAGGTTGCTTAGCAGAAATGTAATGCCAGAGATTGTGTCCTCCAAGGGAACACTGATCTCTGTAGTATGGAGATCAGCTGTAATTTCAGAACTCCAAGTCCCACCTACTTGGAGCTAGGGTCGCCAGGTCCCCCCTGGTCACTGGCGGGGGATGGGGGGGTAGGGTTGCCAGCTCCAGGTTGGGGAACTCCTGGAGATCTGGGGATCAATGCTCCCTCTAAGCTGTTGAGTCTTGTGAGCAAAAATTCTACTGTGGGAGCTACGTGCATTAAAGTTGTGAGCGAGTGACTTGGCTACTGCATAAATTAGTTTGCTCTGGAGCCCTCCTTCCTCAGCTGAGACAAAAATGTGTGAGCCAGAGGCTAAAAAACTGAGCTCGCTCACACTCACTCAGTTTAGAGGGAACACTGCTGGGAATGCAGCCTGTGGAGGGCAGGGACCTCAGTGGGAAAGCATCCCTTTCTCCAGGGGGAACTGATTTTTGTAGTCTGGAGATGAGCTGTAATCCTTGGCGATCCCCAGGCCCCACTGGAGGCTGGCATCCCTACAAAAGTTGGAGCCCTCAGGAGATAGATTCGGTGGTGCGGCTGCGGGCGAAAGGGCAGTCGAGCGCCCCTGACCCTCACGCGAGCCAGCCTCTCCCGTGGCAGGGCGGAGAAGCCCACGGAGAAGCCGGTCAGTCCACTGCAAAACAGGGCGCAGATCGGCAGTCTGTTTGCTGATGGTGTGTGTGTGTGGGGGGGCGTTCTCACGCGCGGCGGGACCTCCCCCCTCCCCCGGGTGGGCCAAGGAAGGCTTGACGATTGTAGGTTCCGTTGCTAGGGAGCCTCCAGCCTCTTCCGCGAGGATGTACCGCCCTTTCCGGTCACGGGGCGCTGGCCCAATCAGCGCGCGCGGTCCAGGCCGGTGGGCGCCGGGGCTGGATCGGGCTGGGCATGGCGGCGCTGCAGTTCGGGGCGGCGAGTGGGGCTGAGGAGACGGCCTTGCCCGGCGGGAGCTTCGGGGCGGCGGACTCGTTCCCCAAAGATTTCGGCTACGGCGCCGAGGACGACGACGACGAAGATGACGACGAGGCGGCCGAGCTGGGGGCTCATGGGGCTGCGGCGCAGTGGGAAGTCGTCCATCCAGAAGGTACGCGTAGCTTCGCTTCCTCAGTGGTTTGGCAGCCGCCACCGCCCTCCTCGGTGGCGAGGGTCGTGGCCAAGTAGGCCTGTGTGGACGCGGACGATGGGAGGCGGGCGGTGGCAGGCAGGAAGGAAGGATGCCCTTTGGAGCAAAGGAGCTGCCTCCTTTGTAGGGCTCTCCGTCGGCCGCAGTGGCCTAGTCCGAAGCAGGAGAGCGCTGACACCTCTGCACGGACCTAGAACCGAGCCCGCCACTTGACTGAAGGCCAAGAGCCCGGTGGAGGGCGAGGGCTGCACTGTGCCCATCGTGGCAGTGTTCCTCTTTGCTGCCCTGGTGACACTTGGCTTCATACGGTTGGCTGGGGCAAAGTGCCATAGTGCTCTTCTTCATTAGCTCACTCAGCAGGCACAGGATAGAGGTAGGCACCTCTGTTTTCCTTCTTATCCACCATGCCAGTGGGGCAAAGCCAGATGCCACTGTTCTCTTTTATCAAGTCAGGCATTATCCTGCCTGTAGTCTTCCACCGCAGCCATGTTGAGCCTGGGGTGGCAAGAGGAAGTCAGTTGCCTTTCTTTGCTGGCTGCACTACACCTAGGTCAGCAGGGCAAAGCTTGGGTGCCTTTGTGCCCATTCAGCTCCTTGCCTGCCCTCCCGAGGCGGGGAGGGGCTCTCTGGTTCAGGTGACCTTCTAAGATAGCAGCCCACTGGGACTTTGCTCAGAAGAGTAAATTGCCAGTCCACCTTCAGATAGCAAGCTAATTGTCTTTGCTGTGCTCTGTTTTGTCCACAGGTGGTGTTTCACAAAATGTCTCCCAATGAAACCTTGTTCTTGGAAAGTACTAACAAGATCTACAAGGATGACATTTCGAACAGCTCCTTTGTGAACTTCCAAATATGGGATTTTCCTGGGCAAATGGATTTTTTTGACCCGACGTTTGATTATGAGATGATCTTCAGAGGAACTGGAGCCCTGATCTATGTTATCGATGCACAGGTCATTATGAATGAGAGAGATGATGTCAAGAATCTGTTGATTTTTGCAAGGATTACGGTGGGCTGTGGGTAGCACTAATTCTGCAATCTTGACATAATATTTTATTTTATGGCAATCTACAGATGTTAAAAACAAATATTTGTAAACATCATCTGTTTTTCCAAAAAGCAAACTGTTGCCCAAATGCTCAGTGTGGATTACAACTGCTTAAAATATTCTAGTACAGCTAGTGATCAGAAAGACATTGGATGTAGTAATTGTATCAGATCTCACAGAGATCCATTTGGTGAGGGGAGCGAGACGAGGGCATTGCGTATTGTACGTTACACTCAACCATAACTAAAACTAAGTCAACTTAAAGCCATGGTTTTGAATCCTAGTTTAAAGGACCATAGCCATAATTCGTGGGGTGTCCCACATTTGCACTGTTACACTAGCCGTACTGTACATTACTTTTTGTGAGATGTCTGAACCTTACATTTGTGTAGCTTTTAACAGGTGTTTAAGCAAGCACTGGGAGAAAATATATTGCTCTAACTTGTTCACGGGATTGCTTAATTTGTATGATTTCTCATAATGTTTGTTCATGTCACACTAATTATAGTTCATGATGATTTTTTTGCATAATGGGGTATCTGTTTTCTGGTCACGCAAAGGCAGTGAGTTGCATCTTAAATCTTGTTAACAGGATGACTACATGGAAGCTCTAACTAGGCTCCACATTACAGTTTCAAAAGCCTATAAAGTCAATCCAGACATGAACTTTGAGGTTTTTATTCATAAAGTAGATGGCTTGTCAGATGACCATAAAATAGAAACTCAAAGAGATATTCATCAGAGAGCCAATGACGACCTTGGTGATGCTGGGCTAGAAAAACTTCATCTTAGGTAAGTCATACTGGTTGGGGTTTTTAAATTTTTGGGGTTTTTTTTGCTGCAATACATGGCTAATGGCTCCTTTCTGTCTGACAGCTTCTGCTTGGGATGAGACGAGAAGCAGGGAAAGCCAAGCTTTGTGAGGCTCGTTATTTTTTTTAATTTATTGTAGTTATTGTTTGCTTTTCTTACTGAGGGGCAAAGCAGATTACTGTTACTTCACAGTCAAGAATTTAGCAAAGATTTAACAGATGTTTTACAGCTATTATATTTCCCCCCCCCAAATCTGTCCTTTGACCTCTGATCTCTTAGCACCATTCACCGGTGCCTTGTTATCTTTTAGAGTTTATGGTTTGTTTTCCTTTTCTCCCTGTTAGGAGTGTGAATGTACTCTAAACAGAGGGTAGGGTGAATTATGCTTGGGAACAGAATGGATAAACGCTTTTCAAAATAACACACTATGGCCTCGTTTTTTCTTATCTATAAAAAAAGAACTCTGTATCTGTTCAGTGTGCCAGCTTGAACTAGCATCAGGAATGATCATTCTTAATAAAATTGTATGCTCTGTCAGCAAAAGGCTTGAGTAAATCTTCTCCCAGATTGTTGGGGGGGGGGGGGGGGGTTGCCGGGTTTTAGAC